TTGAATAAAAATCTAAAATGGCGGCGTGTCAGCTGATTATCTGGTTGCTGCGTCCTATTTCGGGGATTTATAGGAGTTGACCCCTCGGTGTGACCCCAGCTGAACTATATGTAGAAGCAGGGGTAAAAAATGAAAACACGTGTTTCTTTGGTTAAACTTTTGCGAAACATGTGAAGTTTTATTCAAAACACATGTTTTTAAGTTGGTTAAGCAGACCCAGTTTATTTGATGGTTGTGTACCCTGGTTCCACTGATGAACCATATCCAACATGAATTCCCGATCCTTGGATTTAAATAACCCTCTTCTTAGATAAGGTTTGACTAGGATTAATGGTCCCCTTATAGCCCCACTCCTCCCCCCCCTTCCCATCCATATTTCAAAAAATAGAGAATTCATTCCTAATCATTATTATCGAAATACATGTAATCGAAGTTTTTTTATCGCGGGAAGCCCAACCAATCCAGCCCCCCCCCCTCAAATCAGTTTATCAAAGTTTATTAATTTAGTTTATTATATTTTAGATTCAAATTGCGGTTCAAATTAAGAGTTATTACTTAAGAAACCTTTTGAAAGAAATCTCATCCTTGTTCTTCATCTTGTCTGTCTTGGTGTTTGTTTGTTTGTATCCAAGAAACGTCAAAACGACCGAACAGGTCCCAAAATATTTTAGGCAACTCACTGAACTCAAAATTGCAAAAATTTGTTTGATGAAATACTGATTTTTTAAGATTTAGAAAATCCACTTCAAAATATTATCAAATTGTTTTTAGTTGTACGAAGAGAAATGCTAGAGCGACAATTGAAAGTTTAAATAGAAGATGTGCTAAAAGCGCCCTCAAAGCCTAGTTTTGTAAATTGCAATTGCTGCAACTAATTTATTTTTTAGAATTGCAAAATTCTCAAAATTCATCTTCATTATCGGCCAGGGGTTGATGGGGGACCCTTCACCCCCTTATAACCCTTTCCCCCCCTTTATGTATCCTCCCTGTCATATTGAATAATCCGTCTCTCCTGTATAATTAATATTTTCTTGTGTTCTGATAATTAAACACTTTTCTGTCAACTATGCTACAGTTCTACAGTTTTTCCTTTCACAAGAACCCTTGGCGCACAGGGAGAGGTCAAAGGTCGCACACCGGGTTCTTACTGAGTACGTGAGGGTAGAAAGATAAAAGGTAGGGGAGAACAATGTAGAAGGGAAGAGAAGAAAAGGGGGGGAGGAGAAATAATATAAGAGAAAGAACAATGACAGGAAAGGAACTGTCCACTGTCAAAATAGAGTAACATGCCTGATTCACAATTTAATCAATTATCTGAATAACACTGGAGAAGATATATATTTGTTATATCTAAAAGAGATCTGCAGTTCTGCAATCTTTCTTACTTTACATCCTGCAATAAAAATGTAAACTTTGTAGGGAACTATCTTTAACAGACACAATAGAAAGATGAAATTACACAATAGAAAGATCAAATGAAAGTAAATTATTCGTATAGATTGAATTGTCACATGTGTCCAGTATAGGTCCTCTCTTTGCAGCGCTATTGATTACAACTCAAAGGGTTTTTTACAATGTATATGTAATCAAGTAAATTATCTCACGCTTGGGCGAAAAATCAAAGCAAAAGTAACTCAGATGTTGCTAGGTCGGACCAGTAATTTCTTATATTGACGTTTTCCTTATCCTTGCCATGCCATAGAAGGTCATTTGAAACTCAGGATAACACCCTAATCTTTAAGAAGAACGTATTAACAGTAAGCGCCAACAAAATGGGAGTTTTAAGAGGGGAAATAAGATTAAAAAAGAGGATAAAGAACAAAAAGGGAGAACAAACAAAATTGAGTCAATTTAGGGAAATATTGAAATTATGGGGGAGGGGGGGTGCAATAAGGGGGCAATGTACTCACAGTAGTATAGAGTCAAGGCTACATATATATATACTTCTAATGATGCAATTACTGATAATAATTATCCTGAAGAGTAATTACTCTCTCTGGATAATGGGGCAGGGCAGTAGTTGAAGAGAGAGTTTACTATATTGTCAACATGTTTACTTACTTATACACACAAATATATCAATGTGAGAGAGGGGGGCCGAATTTAGGTTTAGAGGAGGTTGAGAGAGGCTCAGATAAGAGGTGTCAGGGGGTCGAATGGAGGTTTAAAAGGGGAGTGGAAATGACTCAAAGATGAGATGTAATGGGGGTCAAATGGAGGTTATGGGGAGGGTTGAAGGGGCTCAGACAGAGATTAGGAGGATGGCCGAATGGAGGTTTGGAAGTCGGGTGGAAGGGGCTCAGATAGGAGGTTTGGGGTAGGCGAATAGAGGTTAGGAAGTGGGATGTGAGGGGCTCAGATAGGAGATGGGAGGGGGTCAAAAGGAGGTTTGGACGGGAGCAGGGCTCAAAAAAAGGGTCGAATGGAGGTTCGGAACAGAAATTTGGAAGGGAGAAGGGCTCAGATAGAGGGTAGGGAATTGAGGGGTTTGTTTAAAATTTTATATTGAGGGGTTTGTTTAAAATATTATATTGAGGGGTTTGTTTAAAATTTTATATTGAGGGGTTTGACTTTTATAGCGATAACTCCAGCCAAAGCCGGATTCTAAAGCTAGTTGTATAATTATATATTTGAGGTTAAAAGAAAATGTACACCACCATGCTATATAGGGTTACACACAAAGAATAAGACTTGAATAATGTCATAGTTTTTCTTTTGCCTTCCATATATATATATCTTGTTCATTATTATAAACTAGGCTTTTAGGGTGCTTCGCGCCCATCTTCTATTTCAACTTTTAATTGTGGCTTTATCTGTGAGCATCTTCTCTTTGTACAGTATAAAACAAAAACAAAAAAAGTTTGCGAATTTCATAATATTTTTTTTTCGCGCATTTTATCAAATTTTACAAAATAAAAAACTTTTGAGAACAAATTTTTAAAATTTTGATCATTCATAAACCTTCCCTGGGGTCACGTGAGGTCCCACACAAAATTTAGGCCCGATCGGTTCAGCCGTTTTGACGTTTATTGGATACAAACAAACATTCAGACAAGCTAAATTTAGAATTGTCTATATATATCTTTTACTGCTAAACTAAAAGAGTTTGTTTTAATCTTAATTCATGACAGAAACAATCTCAAGAACTGACGAGGGTCAACCCAGACCAAAATATATTTTCAATAAATGTTGAACTAACATCTACTTTTTACTCTATTGGTCCATCACCATCACCGAATTTTAAATGTAAAAGTTTATAGTTGCAGGAACCATGAATAAAAAAAGATATTATACAAATGTCATGCAGTCCAAATAGATTGTCAAGTACTAGACAATCTATTTGATGCAGTCGACTTTTAAGTATCATATTTTCTGGGTAACCGTGTATCTTTTAAGTTTATCTATACATTTTATTGTTTCGAATGTATTATGATAAATTATTTTGCCATATTTCATATCTTATCGAAATCTCAAGAAATCAGAAGACTGACTTACTGATTGTGAAAAGTGTAGATTCAATGCAGATGAAGTAAAGTTTATCCTCTGAAGATTGAAGACTAGATTTCTATTATAAATTTGTAAGGAATTCTTCTGAATATCAGTCGATTAAATATGCTATGCCTCCCCCTCCCTCTCCCTGCGCAATATGCTATGCTCCCCCCCCCCCATAATAAATGGTGTGCAGTATGCCCATATTTATCGTTCACACAATTAATGAAGAAATCAATTTTCATCCCAGTAAATATTTATCAAATCTGAGGTCGGAATCCATCCTGGGGGGAGGGAACGGGTATGAGAGAGGAGTTAAAAGTATGGAATATACGACCCATCGCAAAGATTCAAACGGTCTGAGGTGTTTAATAAAAGTTTTAAGCTTGATTCATTGCAAACCTTTCAGTCAGTTATAAACCTTATTTTATATCATGTATCATACTATATTTAATAATCATTTATTGAACCTTTGATACCTTAATACTCTGTATTACAGTATTCAGTAAAGTATTTTAGATTAAACATTTTAATTTCAAATATATTTGAATATATTATCTTATGTAATATTATTTATGAAAGATTTGCATGCCTGATTCACAACAGAACCTACCTCTATAATCTATGTCTTATCATTGATAAGGAAGATTTGCATGCCTTATTCACAACAGTGCTTTTTACCTCTATAATCTATATATTAGCATTAATAAGGAAGATTTTCATGCCTTATTCACAACAGTGCCTTTTACCTCTATAATCTATATCTTATCATTAATAAGGAAGATTTTGTTTTCTTTTTATCTATTGTCGAACGATTTCCTTCTTTGACTCTGCTCACGGTAAACTATGGATCATTGAGTTTTAACTTCAGGACAGACTTTGTCCTGTTAAATAAAGAATTGTACGCTATTTTTACCGAATTTTGAATTAAAATATGACAGAAAATTAGCCAATACAAACAGATATTTAGATATATCTAACATGACTAAACATTATGTGTTTAATATTATTACCATATTCTAGCATTGTTTGCGAAATAAATGTGTATTAAATTTTCTAAATATAATGCAAAGGGACCCATATAACTGTGAAATAGGAGGACAACTGTTAGAATTAAATGTTTATTAGTCCAATGAACATAAATCAGGCCCATTCACCTAATTAGTTAATTTTTAAGCTCCTGATGAAATCATTTGCTTCAGAACAACATCAATTGTAAATCAGATTGTTAAAATGTCGTCTTCTTTTTCCACAGTTTTATGTACAGTCATAACCAGAAAACTCCAAATAGGAAGACGACTTTTTAGCAATACGCAAGTGTATTTACTGGTGTCATACAGCAAATAGTTTTACTAGACACTTATTAAATCACAAATCAAGTGAAATGGGTCTGTTTACACTGCACAATTTCTGTTTCCCGTGCTCACCTATCTAAAGTGATAATCTAAGTTTAAAAGTCGTCTTCCTATTCCAGAGTTTTATTATTATCACTGTATCTCACTGTAAAAATATCAAAATAGAATATAAAATGAAGAGTTTGGTTCTGTGCGTGGTTATCTTCACATTTTCACTTACTAAAGGTAGGATAAGATAGTTACAAATATAAAACTTCTTTTTTTACTTTCTCCATACAATTGTGATTACACAATAAACATACTTGTTAGAATCAGCAAGTTAAGAATAAATTATAGCTTTCTTAATTCTATTTTTCATTTTAATTGAAAAATATTTTTCTAAAGAAAATCTGGAAACCATTTAAACTATAATACTAGATGGGAAACTCAGATTTTCCTGGAGATCTAAAATTTTTCGAACCATGTTAAGTTTCCCAATTAAAATTTGAGGAAAATCGGTCAAATTTTGCATTCGTGTTGATAAACAACCAAGAAAGTACTACTTTATCTACATATAAACAACCAAACATAAAACAGAGATTATTGCTTTATACACAGATCGTAAGCCCAGCTTTTTTAGGAGTTTACGAGTAATTGAAGAGAAGCTTTATTAATTGACAGCCTCTCTTTGTTTTCATGTGTATCTATGCTTTTAAAATATTTTATATAAATCAAAATAGAAACCGTAAGTCGTCTTCATTGTATTGATATACGCAACGACGACTGTAAGTCAAACTTAATTTAAAACTTTTTAACCAAATAAAGAACATCCCGCGGATCTGCCAAGTTTCCCAACCAAAATTAAAGACAAATCGGTCAAGGGGTATAATAGTTACATTACAATCAAGAAAAAAAAGAAACAGAGGTTAATATAACTTTTTAAAATGTAGATAAAGATCTAAAAATACTTGATAGCACTGCTTTAAAGAAAATAAGCACTAAAAATGAGGCTGCGTGGCACAGACAAAAATTTCATTTTAAATTTCAATTTTTCAATTAAATATTTTATTTTTTCATATTTTTTTAGGTTCCGCCGATCATGCTCATCATCATCATGATTCATATTCAGGTATTTTTTTAATTAATGTTTGTCTATCATACAGTTAAACTCAAATATAAGAAGACATCTGCAGAATTTTTTAAATAAATGTCGTCTTAAAGATTTTCACTATATGAAGCTGTTTGATAACATGTTCCACGTATCCCTTTGATATCTTTGAAAAATACAATTGACAGATTCATATTCAAATCAAGGCGACATTATATGAAGTCTCCTGGTGTCTTCATAAATATGAGTTTAACTGTATTATACAGGGTTACCAACACAGGATGAAACTTCAGAGACGATTGTACGGAATTTGTTTTTCTTGTTTCCTTGCATTCAGGGTTCCTTGCAGGCCAAAACTGGTATATTTATGTGCTTAATCATTTAGTAAACCATAAAATACTTAATTAAATGTAGAAACCAAAAATCAAGCTTTTAATCATTATATTTTTAGAGTTTTGGGTCGTATTTATTGTCTCATTCTTTGTGGGTAACTCTGTATCTTTAACTTTTTCCTAAAATCAATAATCATAATTTGCATTCTCCTACTTTTCAAATTTTTTTTTCTTCATATAGTCCTTGTATATAGGTGGTTCCTAGTTTAAAATCCTTGTATATAGGTGGTTCCTGGTGTATAGTCCTTGTTTATAAGTGGTTCCTAGTTTATAATCATTGTATAAAGGTGGTTCCTGGTGTAAAGTCCTTGTACAAAGATGGTTCCTGGTTTATAGTCCTTGTATAAAGGTGATTCCTGGTGTAAACTCCTTGTACAAAGGTGGTTCCTGGTTTATTGTCCTTGTATATAGGTGGTTACTGGTTTATAGTCCTTGTATATAGGTGGGTCCTGGTGTATAGTCCTTGTATATAGGTGGGTCCTGGTGTATAGTCTTTGTATATAGGTGGTTCCTGGTTTATAGTCCTTGTATATAGGTGGGTCCTGGTGTATAGTCTTTGTATATAGGTGGTTCCTGGTTTATAGTCCTTGTATATAGGTGGTTCCTGGTTTAAAGTCCTTGTATATAGGTTGTTCCTGGTTTATAGTCCTTGTATATAGCTGGTTCCTGGTTTATAGTCCTTCTATATAGCTGGTTCCTGGTGTATAGTCCTTGTATATAGCTGGTTCCTGGTTTATAGTCCTTGTATATAGGTGGTTCCTGGTTTATAGTCCTTGTATATAGGTGGTTCCTGGTTTACAGTCCTTTTATATAGGTGGTTCCTGATTTATAGTCCTTGTTTATAGCTGGTTCCTAGTTTATAATCCTTATATATATGTGGTTCCTGGTTTATAGTCCTTGTATATAGGTGGTTCCTGGTTTATAGTCCTTGTATATAGGTGGTTCCTGGTTTATAGTCCTTTTATATAGGTGGTTCCTTATTTATAGTCCTTGTATATAGCTGGTTCCTGGTTTATAGTCCTTGTATATAGCTGGTTCCTGGTTTATAGTCCTTGTATATAGTTGGTTCCTGGTTTATAGTCCTTGTATATATGTGGTTCCTGGTTTATAGTCCTTGTATATAGGTGGTTCCTGGTTTATAGTCCTTTTATATAGGTGGTTTCTGGTGTATAGTCATTGTATATAGGTGGTTCCTGGTTTATAGTCCTTGTATATAGGTGGTTTCTGGTTTATAGTCCTTGTATATAGGTGGTTCCTGGTTTATAGTCCTTGTATATAGGTGATTCCTGGTGTATAGTCCTTGTATATAAGTGGTTCTGGCTTTATAGTCCTTGTATATAGGTGGTTCCTGGTTTATAGTCCTTGTGTATAGGCATTTCAACGGAAAAAGAAAGCTGCTCTGAATTCGTCATTATATAGCCTGATTTAAAAGTACTATGCTAATAATAACGCTCACAGTCCCTTTTTAACGACTGCCTGATCAAGTTATCTTTTTCTTCTTGCACACAATTCTTTTGAATCACGTATAATGAAAACACCTCAAATTTTGTAATAAACGTCAATGATTTGAAGATGGATCGGGAATCTATTTGACAAAATAGTTATTTTGGTGAAGAGTAGTTTAATATTGAGGAGGGGTGACCCCGGCATTGAATCGATATTTGATTGGTTTGGATCAAACACCTATTCTAGGCTGCCTGTCGTCTAACAAACAGGGGTAGATACAAATCATAAAAACTAAAATACAGAATTTTTCGAAATGTTAAGGTTTTTTTATGAATTTTTGGATATTTCCGGCCATTCCTCAGTTTCTATATATATATGTTTATCCTTCTTAAAAAAAAAACATTTATTATTGGCAAAATGAACCGTATTATTCTAATACAGCTCTTAAATGTGATTACGAAAGAAAAAACAATTAAGACTTACGAACGACAAAAGTTGAACCTTTTAAAGGCATTTTTATGAATTTAAATCTGATCTAGTGAACATTTTACAAAATAACTTTTGGCCAAATACCCAAGAACATTTTTCAAAAATGCAGATTTCAACATTTGATGTAGATCCAATAAAAATGAAAACCACTTAAGTGCTAGGCTCGGCATAACACTTGTGAGGGACTTCGTATATCCCAGGAGATTACTTAGAAAAACATTTTCTTATACATACAGGAAAATTCACATGAAAAAAATAAAGAAATATGCGATGCTTTTCAAGTTTTTCAAGTATGAAGTAAAAAAATTGATTCTCATCATATAAATTAAATTTATCTAAATTTTAGGATATGATTCCTATGGTTCCCCTCTACTGCCAGTTCCGATACCCTTGTACGACTCCCCTCAGGACCCAACCCCCATCGTTACCCAGGATACTTATGGTGCCCTTCTCGCCCCTGTGGCTGCACCCTCCGAAAATGGATATGGTGCCCCCCTAGCCCCTGTGGTTTCCCCCTCCGTGGATGATTATGGTGCTCCGCAAGCCCCTGTACTAACTACAGTAGCTCCAACTACAGTAGCTCCAACCCTCCCTCCATCGGCAACTATATTTAGGGATGGGCATTTGTCACTCTTAAAAAAATTACTTTGATCGTTTCAATAACAAGGACAGATAAATGAAAGCGAAACGAAAAGATCGTTTTTTAGACGCCCATTCTTAAAAAAGTAGATGAATCAAGGTATGTGAACTTGCTATGGTTGTGTTCTCAGAAAGCTATTTCTAAAACGTTTTCAACAGCTTACAACTAACATTAAGTTAACTTGAAATGTACGTTTGATGTTGAAACGATAGTTTTTAAACTCCAATAAGAAACTAGGCCCATCTGTGTTTAGTTTCACCAACATGGGAATATCAATCATCTCTCTTCTAGTCATCTTCCTTTGGCCAGTTTATACCTCTCAGGTAAATAAAGGGACTGTACATGTAATCTCAGGTAAATAAAGGGACTGTACATGTAATCTCAGGTAAATAAAGGGACTGTACATGTAATCTCAGGTAAATAAAGAGGCTGTACATGTAATCTCATGTAAATAAAGGGACTGTACATATAATCTCAAGTAACACTTTTTTCAGAATTGGCGCATGTTTGATTTACAACGGTAACCGTTTTTATAGCTGAATCTTGAGTGCCGGAAAACTCAAGGTTATGCAATGTCTTGGTTGCCAATTTTCAGCTATAAAAATAAGGATATTTACATCCCTCTAGAAATGAAGAATTGCTTGAAATTGCGCCAAGAGTCCAGCTGTAAGTAAACCCCGGTAAAGCTTTATCTTTGAAATTTCTTAATTAAATAATAATAATTATTATTCAGAATGTGATTGACGCTCGCAGTCGGAAAAGGCGAGATACTAGCGAATATATTGAATACTATGATTTCTATCCAGAGTACAACGGATACGATCAACCTAATGTTAAGAGGTAAAAAGACTTGTTTTTGTCATAATTAATGTAAAAAAAATTTAGTTTTTTTAAGTGGCAAACAGTAATAGTGTCATTTTTTAACAGCAACATAAAAATTATAGAGATTTGAACTGGAAAAAATGATAATACTGTTTGCAGCAATCCTTGTAATGTTGATGTCGACTGTAGAGTTTAAACATTTTCCTGAGTTGGATTTCAAAAAATTTAAAATGGACCAATAAAAAGACAATAAACATTAAAGAGATTTCGAGGTCACTCTGTGCACGCCAATTTGGTTTCAATTAAAATTTTAAGATTCTTTGTTATCTTCATATCCAAGTTGTGATCATCAATATTAATTTAGAGAGTACACTACTCCTAAAGCAGAGCTTGCTGAACCTGATTACCCAACTGGAACAGGAACTGGAGAACCTGAGATCCCTCCTCCAATCTTTGAGATCAATGAAGGAACCCTGATCGTTGTTGCTCTAGCAACTGCAGTCTTAGTCTTTTGGCCTGTCACGGTAATTTTGAAAATGATGATAATGATGATAATGATGATAATGATGATAATGATAATGATAATGATGATAATGATGATAATGATGATAATGATGATCATGATGATCATGATGATAATGATGATCATGATGATCATGATGATAATGATGATAATGATGATAATGATGATAATGATGATAATGATGATAATGATGATAATGATGATAATGATGATAATGATGATAATGATGATAATGATGATAATGATGATAATGATGATAATGATGATAATGATGATAAGGATGATAATGATGATAATGATGATAATGATGATAATGATGATAATGATGATAATGATGATAATGATGATAATGATAATAGTGATAGTGATATTTGCAGAATGGACGAATTGGCAGGATTTCCTATGTTCAAGAGATCAATTCAACCGAAACCAATTTCATCAAACGGGAAGGTATCAATCTTGTTAAAATAAAACCGGTATCTTCATGTCATGTGAAAAACAAGTATGCAGAAAATACCTATGGCTTTACCGATTTATCTGAAATAAACATAGTTTTCAGTAGTCGGGAACTGATGCTATTTGTGATAACATCTATTAAGGAAAATTTATTCAATGTCTATATGTTGTCTGTTTTACATAAATGAACGTTGAACGTTCTATCTATCTTTTTCAAATTGTGAGAAAATATCGATTGGAGCTTATTCTTACTACAATTAGTAATTGTGTCTTTGTCACAAACTCTGAGTTTCAAATCCCTATATCTTTGTTGTAGACCTTTGATATTTAAAAACATAAATTCTGTTAGGTCCAATAATCTTAGTTTCAAATATCAGAGATGTATACCATCAGGATGCAAAGATATGGGGAAAACAAAATTTGAAATTGTGGCAAATACTCAGTTTTTTTGCTTTAAAACTGATTTTATTTCATTTGTTTCCTCAGATCTCCCTAGATGTCCTAGCTGTCCTATGTTTCTTAAAATTTAAAAGTTGTAAAGAGTCTAAATCTAATTCCAAACATAGTTTTCTCTGAGTTTAAAAGTTAGAAAACTTCTGTTCCTAATTTTTTGCTAAACAGAATTGTAAAGTTGGCACCATCTGCTTCTTTTTACTCATTCTGCAGCAAGGATATCATACAACGTATTGATTTTATATTCTTGAAAGAAGTGAAAACCTAATTTTAATGTACAGAGTGGCATTTATCGTACAAATATGTGAGACAAGAATGAAATAGATTGTCCAAGTTTTTTTTTGAAATTTTTTATTTTATGTGCAAAAGTGACATTTCTTTTTGCAGAAACATTGTAGAACTTATCAGTATCAAACATTTATCAAGCCATAAAAATGGCGTTAATTATTTTCCAAATTATTGGTCAATAAAAAGGAACTGTAAAGCGTAATTTCTATTGGCCCTTCATAAAAGATGACAATGTCCGATTCACAACGGTACCCTTAAAACCTTTTTATGATAAATATTGTGGAATATATTTTAGTTTTTCTATGTTAAAAGTTTTTCATTATGATAATTTTATATATATTCCTGCAGTAGAAACACGCAAGTGACTTTTGAAATGAAACCACAATTGAAAACAATGCATTTTTTAAAATTATATTCATTGATATCTAACTCATACTTGAACAGACAAAGCTTTTAAGAGTACTTTTGTGAATCGGGCATTGTAATCTTTTCATGGAGGGAGAACTTACGCTTACAGTCCCTTTAAGGTTTTACGGTGCGTTTTGAATCGAGCTTAGTGTAGTATTAGCCACCTTTGTGGAGCGATCCTGCATTTTGTTATCGGTTGACAATGACAGTCATAGATATAAGTTTGATAAGTTTCGATCATATATTAGTTTATTTTCTTAAAATAATTAATCTCCGCTGACGATTTTATTAGATTGTATCTCGTGGAGTTTTATAACAAAGACGAGAAAAAAAATGGTTTCCCAATATGCCAATCCTTTAATTATAATTTTTTTATTTATAGGTTTCACGAGGAGGGTCTAGACCTGCTGCATTCCCAAGATCAAATGGACAGCATGCACCGGGTAAATAAAATAAAATCCTGCACAACTAATCCAGAGTGAAACTTATTTGAAACCAAACAATAGACAGATACAGTAAGAGCCAAAAAACTGTGAAATTGGAAGACGACATTATAGTAAGAACCAAGTGTATTTGATGTTGTTGAAAAAGTAAATAGTTTGCTGGTAACTTATGAAATCACTTATTTAGTGAAATTAACAGTGTACAATTTCGGTTTCTCATGTTTATTGGACTATTTTATGCCATAACTTGAGTCTCAAAGTCGTTTTCCTATTCCAGAATTTTGAGTAATATTACATACTAGCATGGGAATCCAGCTTTGCTAGGAAACTAAACTCTCTTTATTAAAGTATTAAAGTATAGATCACTTCATTTAGAATTTACCAAGTTCCACAATCAAAATTTGAGTCAAATCAGTCAAGGGGTTCATGAGTTATGATCGGACATACAAACAAACAGAAAAAATATATTACTACTTCATACAGAACTATCTTGGGAACCCAGCGTTGCCCAGGTTACTCAAAATTACTCCGACCGTTTACCCGCACTCATTCGTAAATTACTATTTCAGCTATTTATCTTGATAAAAGTTGACTCCCTTAACTTATAATCTCAAGCTAAGAAGTTAAGAACATCCCCATGGATCTTCCGAATTCCCCAATCAAAATTTGAGGCAAATCGGTCCAGGGGTTGCCAAGTTATGATCGGACCAACAAACAAACAAGCAGACAGACACCCAAACAGTGATTACGACTTTAAATGTTAATGTTTACTAGATGGACCGGCCCGTGTACTCGATGTAAAGGTTGTAAAGGCAGTACAGCTGGGTGAGTAAATTTTAGCAAATCAAAAACAAACATTTTTGTAATTTTTATCTGGCCTTGATAAAAAAACACTTTGCTTCGGCAAAAAAGTAAATTTTCTTTATCTTTGCAATGTTTGGAGTCAGAGCTATTGCTCAAAGGAATTGAGTCTTTGCCAAAAACTCAAATATTTGTGACCTTATATCTTTAGAACCCAATGTCGTAAACCTGTGATATTTCAATCTCAGATTATTTGATTGAACAGAATTCACAATTTGAACTATCTAAGGTCTACAACATTTGGTTGCAAAGATGTTGTGATTCGAAAATCAGAGTTTGTGGCAAAGACTCAAATCCTTTTTTTGAAAACTTTACATACATAAAATATAAACGATATTTTCCAACATGAATTCTTCAAGTAAGAAAAGAGATTTAAAAAAGTATATTTTAGGTGGACAGGCTGGTAACTGCTTGGAACCGTATGTAGTTGTTGAGGTAAGTTATAAATCAGGGATGAACATTTTCCATGAAAACGTTTTCTCCTCTTCACAAATATTTCCTCCGCCGGTTTTATCCCTTAATAGAAATATGTACCAATATTATATAATTATACGCACCCTGGACTAACTAGGGTGAGATGCGTTCGGTTTCTTCTATTTGAATTCGATCACCTGTTGGTATGTAATTCAACAATTTTTAAACTTACAAAGACGAATTGGTCTTTTCATACTTTTTCCTTTAAAACGCATGCACCAACAAAAAAGTATACAAGAAGAAAGGCGAAAAAATTTTATGTTTATTGGGATTATGACCGAATCGTTAAATCCGCATGCGCTATACAAGGCTTATAAGACGCTTCGCGCATAATACTCAAATTCAACTTTTATCGATTGTTTTCGTGGATTTAAAACAAAATCTAAAGGAGTTGAGTTTTTGCCACAAACTCCAAGTTTCAATTCACTTTATCTTTGCAACCGGATGCAGATATTTCAATCAGTCAGAATTATTAGTTTGAAATGTCCAACGTCTACAAGAACGGGTTGCAGAGATACAGGAATTAAAAAATCAGAGTTTGTGACAAAAACTCAACTCCTTTGTCAGGCAGATTTTTTTAATTCAAATCAATCCATAAACCTTTCCTGGGATCATGTGAAGTCCCACATAAAAAGGTGGGCCCGATAAGTTCAGCCGTTTAGAAAAAAAAACCCAAACAATATATAGATAGACCAAAAAATGATGTTCTGTTGTGATTTAATCGTGAATATTACATGAATAGTTCGTTTTTTTGAAATATAGGTTTTACTCCTCTTATTTTTCTTTATATTTGTGATTCAGATTTTGTATGAATTCTTAGTAAACAATTTTTCGGTTTGATTAAACAAAATGAGAGTAACTATGAATAAATCAAGAAAGTGTTTTTATTAAATCTTTTATGATAATATTTTTCTTTTTAATTTTAATCAGTATTTTGTATGAATCTTAGTTATTAAGATTTTTTGTTTGATATTAAAAAACATAACGATAACTAAATCTAAATTTTTTGTTCATAGCTAAATAATTAATTATTAAAAAATGACAAGAAATAAATTAAGGTTGATGATCCGAGCCAAAGGCAGCAGACGAGACCTGGCTCCGGACCTCAGACTCAGTGGAATGAAACTTTTTCAATGTAAAATATTAGAATATTTAAATAACCTTTTTTTCTTTTTCGATTACCTTATGGATGTTTTATTCTAATTTAGTTTAAAAGAAAGAATTATACTGCGGCATGAAGGCGGTCTTTTACTTTAAAAAATGTTGCTATTGATATTTTTCTCAAGATAATCAGGGACTGAATTTAATGAATTTGAACTACTTACTGCCAATTCAAATTTGAATCACCGATTTAAACTCTTCCTTAACCTTTAACTTTGAATCGGTGGTTCAAATTTAAACCGCGACAGTAGTTAGTTCAGCGACGTAGCTCAAATTCATTCAATTCGGGCACTTTTTCAAAAATAGTTAGAATTTGAAAAATCCTTCATCAAAAATAGTTACAATAATTAAGAATTAAAAATCAAAACAATAACAAAGATTGTAAATAATAAAAAATTTAAAAAAAACTAAATTTAAAAAAATATTTTTTTAAATTTTAAATTTAAAAAAAAAATTAAAAATGTTGAAAATTTTTTTAAAAAATACTTACATTTTTTAGCCTATGTCACCCATACGTGTCCACAAAAAATGTCAGCCCAATCGGTCCAGCCGTTTGATCGGCCAGAGGAAAAATATATACAAATGTTTTAGGGATATAACGAGCTGCAGCTCTGAGGTTCTGTTTGAGGTTTGGGACCAGGGACAGAAAATTGGAAAATCAGATACATTCTTGGGACTGGGCATTGGTAAGTTTTTTATTATCTCAAAATATAATTATAAAGATAATGGAATCTTTGCCACAAACTCTAATTTTCTAATATTTTTGCAATTGAAACCCAATGTCGAAAGAGAAGTTTGAAATATCAAACGTTTACACCATCAAATTTGAGTTTGTAGCAGACACTCAATTTCTTTAAAATTTTGTAATTTTCATGTTTTGTTTCAGTATCAGTAAGTGAGTTGATGTGCACTGTCAGCCAACGTCACGTGATCCCTCTTCAGGGTAGACCGTACGAAGAGGATCAGGTATACTAGATCAAGATAAAGATCAAGATCAAGATTATTTTGTAATTTAAGTCCTATTTACTTGTTTTATCAAAAGCTTTTAATAAGTCTAAACTCGATATTACCACCTTACTTTTGAAGTTTCAAAACTTATGTATATATTTAAAAATTGAGAATCTATTTCAAAAATTTTTTTATTTCGTATGAAACTAATTCCATAGTGCGGACTTCTATCAGTATTATTTATTCATATAAAAGTTAGGGAATAGTTTAGAGACGGCTTTAAAGATTAAGATCTAGGAAATATATCAGTTTTGGCAAATGGTGCGAAGTCTGAGATTTCTTCTGCTCTATTAATTACATCTTCCACCAGGCTTTAAGGGCCTGTCGTGTTTAATGATCCTCCATTTAAAGAGGAGTCTTTCCGATTCACAATGGGGTACACTTAGAGGGAGTGTTCGTGAAAAATGAAATGGAGTATAGGTCGACGTCGAATTGAATTTGGTATCGATCGCTACTAATTTTACTTCTATCTGTTGCGTCTATAATGATAAAATTGTTAAAAACAACTCATACCGAAGGGCGTAGTGTCCATACAAATTCAGGGAGTTGCACTATTCCACTCAGAACGTAAATAATTAAGAAATTACAACCTACAATTGTCGAATTCAATTTGAAACATTCGTATACTATTGATATATTATAATATTTTTAGAAATTAAAAAAAAAAATATTATAAAACGGATATATGGTTAATAATCCCTAAAATCGAAAACTATTTCTAATAAAAAAACTATTTCTAAGAAACTAATAAGTTTATACTACAGTATGATCCATACAACCGAGGCATAGGAAGACGACTGTTAGACACAAGTTTTAATATAGTGCAATAAACATGAAACATGTACAGAAATTGTCGAGATAACTTTAATATCGTCCTATTGTACTGTTGTATTTCAAGGTGACCGGAATGTTGACGATAGAGTTCCTGTTTAAAGATGGAGGAATATCATTCTCAGATACTGATACTATGCACGGAGTTCACAAGTAGGTCTTAATCACAGATTTAATAGATAGAGCATACTCATTTATACTCATTTGCATTAATTTTGTTTTGTTTATCATTTATTCAGACTCCTCAAAATGTTGAACAGATTACAATAATAAAGATGAATTATAGACATTTTTCTGTTTATGATAAGCACTATACCTAAACTAAAAGTTCTGTTCTAAGGACCCTTGAAATGCGGCAAAGTAAAGGAGTTGGAGGAGGTGTACAGTATAATACGAAGACGACATATTTTCTCTACGAGCCACCAGGTAAAAAGAGCATGCTGCAGAATGCAGATAGGAACCTGTTTTCATGTGGAACATAATAACCAAGTTTTAATTGGTTATTAATTTGGTAATTTGATGACAAACTCTTCAAGCAAATTTAACTTTACATTTCCCCTCAACCAATATGAATAATTGTTTGCACTATATAGATATATATCCAAATAATATTATATACAGGGTTACCCAAAAAGTATGAGACTTATGTGACGACCTATAGAGAAGGTTTTATTTGACTTTCCTAGAATATAGTTTATTAATGACAAACTAATTAATTTGGCACATACATACATATTTACAATAAAGACAGAATAAATTCCATCCAATTTTCTATAAAATATCATAGAAGTTTGCTTTTTGTTTTGATTGCTGATTCAGATTAACGAAATAGTTAATATAAGTGCTTTAACAATAGTTAAACAATTAAGATTTAAACCTGTGTGCTTTGTTTAAAAATGATTCACAGTTTGAATATATAAAATACCTTTAAAACGTAACAATTAAAAAATACATAATACTTCATTTTATGTCACAAAACAATCCACGACGATTATTGTGATATTATTAACCATGAAACTAAAACATGAGTTTGCGCTTGACTAACCCTCTCCGCCATTTTGCAAGATGGCGGCCTAGACTCCGTGGACTGGGCTAAACAGGCGGCAATACAGGAAAAGTCGGCTCCCGTCGACGGGATATCTTTGATTCCCGACCTAAAGGAAAATATCACAATCTTGAGGAGGGAATCCTATATTAGAGCCAATAAACAAGGTAAGAGAAGAGTGCTTGCTTTAAATCAATTATTTAGTTGTAAAATCTAATCTTATTCTTAAAAAGTCAATTTTGATTGAACTTGTTTAGATTTACTGAACGGGGCGGATGTTGCAGATTTGGCGATTCAGGTGAACAACTTTACTTTTGTGCATAAAAAATGTAAAGTTCAAAAAGAACAGATTCGAAATTCAAATACATTCATTGGTAGCGAGACGTGTTTATATCAATACAATGAGAATGACTTTTTTAAAAATTTTGATTTTTAAAACGCTTAATTTTTTCAATTTACAAATTAATCATAGTTTACAAGTAATCATAAGAGAAGCTCTTCCTAGTATTAATATATACGCCGACGACTAACAGATTAAAAAATGTACCGTTTTTTCCAAAACAGAAAAAAAATGATTTATGTAAAAAATCTTAACACTTCTAGATACCACCGTCACAAACATTGTAGGACGACATTCAATTGGTTTTAATGAGCTAAAGAACAATATAAAACTCTAAGTAATGAATAACTGAAATAATGTAGGAATTAGCTGCTAGATCTAGAAATACATCTTTGGATGACCAACCAACAAAATCTACACTTCTTATACATGCAGTACAGAAGGTGAATCTTTAGTCTTTCTAAAAAGTTTAAGGTTATTAATAAGTGTAATGTTATTAATAAGTTTAAGGTTATTAATAAGTCTAAGGTTATTAATGACTTTAAAAAGTCACCAAAGAAAAACTGTGAACTTGTGAAGGTTCCAAGGATTCTGAAAAAGTGATAGCAGTGATAGCTAGAAAACTCTGGAATAGAAAGACGACTTTAAAAATCAATATAAATTAAGAAAGTCAAATGAGCACAAACCACAGCAATTGGGCAGTGTAAATAGATTTTTACCAAATTAGTGATCTAATAAGTGTCAAGCAAAACTATTCGCTCTGTAACAACATCAAATGCATTTAAGAATTGCTATAATGTCGTCTTCCTTTTCCTTTGTTTTCTGGTTATCACTGTATCTAAAATCTTTATTGTTCGTTTTATATTTGCCAGAGTTAAAGGAAAACAGATGTTAAGAATAGATAATCTAAAAATGTATAAAACTTCTAAGTTTATATGAAACCTTTCAAAAGATACAAAAACCTTAAAAGTTTTAAAACAAGGAACAAAAGTTATTGTTCAAAGCACATTATTCTTTTTTTTAAATCCATGTCTGTAAAGTGTAAATATAGTACTTTTGTCAGAGAATCATCAATATTCCCCATATATCATACTATATCAAGTATTCATGTAAGACCATGTCATATTTTATTTTTTGCTTAACTTACGTTGCATAAACAATAAAAATTAACTAAATATTTTGGATGTAGTGTATAGATTCCATTTATCGTGTTTTTGAGGCATTTTTAAACCCACAACAAAAGCTCATTAAATAGACAAATATTGAATACATACATATATATTATATTTTTCAGCCTCCTCGAACTCAAAGCAGCTCAGTTCAATCTCCAACTCTTGATTCTACAGAAAATGTTTGCTCTGACAGTTTAGGAGATGTTAGTCTCACGTCTAAAGAATCAGGTAGGGGGTGGGGTGTCCCAAAAAATACCGAAAGCGTCGTCTCTAATCCACGCGGAATTATCTAATTTTGAAATTTCCAATATATTTTCGTATACTCGTCCTCGTATATCTCAATACAATGAAGACGACTTCTGATTTCAGTTTTTGATTTTCACTGAGCTTTCAGAGTCGGAAACTTTAGACATTTTAACCATGGTTAAATAGGATTCTAACCATGGTAGAATGAATGAAAACGACAGATTTTTCTAACCATGGTTAATTTTTACCATGGCGTAATAGTTTGCGGCATCAGCTCTGATTGGACACACATACCACGCAAATCTGCACCTTTGGTAAAAGTAAATTCAACCTATATGAAGCATAAAGCCTGACCGCGTCAACCTTTTTGCGCCGGCTAGTTCAGTCCATAGAGTTAGGTACAGTACAAACTGGGACCGGAAAGGTTGACCCGACTCGGAAATTCAAATGTACTACGGCTGCTCTTTCTAGACTCTGGGTTGGAACTATAGTCAATATGACCTTAAATCTTCTTATGATACAGGGTGTCCCAATAAACATGGGAATTCAGTGACGAATTCGATATCGTCTTTTTAAATAATTCTTTGATTTAGTATAGTGATACCTACTGAGAAAGCTGTAATCTGTAAGAATTTCGTCTGCAATGTTCACATTCTGTTTGTTTATGTTTTGACTGCATACGGTTGTACTTTAGTAAAACAAGAAAATTACAGTATACAAACAGAGTAAACTTGTCCGTCTTCACTGTTCACCTTGCGGAGACATTACAGACACATCTTTCCAGTCATTTACCGTTTTCATAAAATAAACTCTAGCAGACATAATAATATTATGGCTTTTAAAATTAGGCATTACAATGCTAATTCATAACAAAGACGATATCGAATTCATCACTGAATTCCCATGTTTTTTTGGGACACCCTGTAGTTAAACCAAACCATCTTTTTTAACATACGGTAGAAATTTAACAATGATAAAACACATCTCTTAAGTTTAGGCTTCAGGCATCATGGATATATATGCAGAAACATAAAAACAAAAAGAAGTTGTCAATTATCAGTTAAATCTTTGTTTGTAAATATATAACCTTGTAATTTTAAAAAAACCTTTTTATAAATCAAAACTTAAATAGAAAAGACGTCCTATTGTATTTATATAAACACTGAAGACTGTACGTAAACGTACACTTTACGGTATGTCAAGAAGATTTTATTGTCGTTTCTGAATTTTTCGTGTCAACAAAACTAAATGTCGTCTTGAGTGTAATGAAACTAAAACTCTCGAAAATCAAGGTGGTCCTCTGAGGAGGGGAAGAGAAAAGAAAAGAAATCTAATCAGCACAATTAAAAAACGATTCTCAGGTAATTGAAAACTGTTTTACTGGCTTCTTATATATTTACGTAACAATCTTCTGTTGTAGAGAATAATTAGATAACTCTATCTATCTATCTCTGATTACAAATGTTTATACAAGCACAATATTTAGGAACTAGATCATTATCTACAAGTATGAAGTTTGAAGATAATTCTAGAACCTCTTCATCTTCTAGAGGTAAATATTATGTAAACATAAATATTTCATAATATTACATTTTTCAATACAGGTGTCTTATTTTAACGAAAGATTTCATAATATCATTTTTGAATATGACCCCAGAGATTGGAAATGGACGGTCAGAATTAAACAGTTTGCAACTAAGTCGATTTTTTGACAGTATAAATCCACCAATGAAAGCTTAAATTGAGAGCAGCGACTTGGTTGGAAGTTTAAAAACAGTACAAAGAGATGTGCAAAGTGTACTGTAAAACCTTGTTTGATATAAAAGATATAAAAATAAGATAAATAAGATAAATTGTTAGCTTTCGTAATTCGTTTAATTGTGTAATACATCATCTCTTAAATAAAGAGCTTTATAGACGTAATGCACCTTATATTATATAATAAAGAGCTTTATAGACGTAATGCACCTTATATTATATAATAAAGAGCTTTATAGACGTAATGCACCTTATATTATATAATAAAGAGCTTTATAGACGTAATGCACCTTATATTATATAATAAAGAGCTTTATAGACGTAATGCACCTTATATTATATAATAAAGAGCTTTATAGACGTAATGCACCTTATATTATATAATAAAGAGCTTTATAGACGTAATGCACCTTATATTATATAATAAAGAGCTTTATAGACGTAATGCACCTTATATTATATAATAAAGAGCTTTATAGACGTAATGCACCTTATATTATATAATAAAGAGCTTTATAGACGTAATGCACCTTATATTATATAATAAAGAGCTTTATAGACGTAATGCACCTTATATTATATAATAAAGAGCTTTATAGACGTAATGCACCTTATATTATATAATAAAGAGCTTTATAGACGTAATGCACCTTATATTATATAATAAAGAGCTTTATAGACGTAATGCACCTTATATTATATAATAAAGAGCTTTATAGACGTAATGCACCTTATATTATATAATAAAGAGCTTTATAGACGTAATGCACCTTATATTATATAATAAAGAGCNATTCAATCATTTTACCCACTAAACATTTCCCAACCCGTCCTTTTTCCAAATATGCTGCAGTTGAAATATTCTTATTAGAAAAACGTATTTTTTTTGTATCTTGATGAATGTATTCAACTATTTTGCAGAAATATACTCGAATAGCAAACATTTTATGATGTAAATACTTCTATATTAAGAAATTCTTTCGGAAGACTAAGAACTTTTTTATATTATTTTTTCCTTGAGAGATTAAATAAAAATAGATGTACATCATATCTGATGGACGGGAAAAAACTATAATGCAACAGTAAGGACACAGTTAAATTTAGTTCGTTTTGTGTGATAAGGTTTGAACAGAAAAACTGCAGAACTTACCATTGACTTTGTTAATGAAAACTGATCTAGGTTTCCAGACACTTTACAAAAGTCAGAATTGCTAGTTTAAAACTTGTTTATGTTTAGTTCCTTCTCTTGATCGGATACGAAGTGCATCTGAACACCGTTCTGAAAACTTCTCAAATACAAGTAAGAACTAAATATTTTTCTATTGTTGTAAATACTAGCTTACTAATTTACTAGCCCACTCTTTCCCGACAAACATTCATTTTACAAACTACACATACTTCTTTGATGTACCGTACATGTCTGATGACTTCTAGACACTGTCTCTTATCCAAATAAATCTTTACAATGCGGTCACACTCGATCCACAAGTTATAATGAAAACGTAAAACTTATTCTGCATTACTATTTACTGGTAAAACTTTGTGACCCCATAGAGTTCTGATTTTATGAGCAAGTATGAGAAATGAAAATTTATTTGCTTAAAACCTTCTTGTTCGTATCAATTACTTTTAAATAAAAAAAGTTATGATTGAAAGCATGTAAGAATTGAATCTACCATAAAATTGTTTTATTTTACACGCCGGATGTTTGAATCCGTTAATCAATAATATTATTCTTTTATGGACAACCCAAAATGTTTCTTACCAGCACATTCAAATTAGCCCTTTCAGCAGCTAACCCACCGACCGGACCTTCCAAATAACCTTCAAACAACCATGACCCTGCAATAACTAACTAACCTTTAAAGTGCTAACCCACCCACCAGCTAACTAGTTAACCTACTAGCCAATTAACCCACTAACCCACTATCTAATTAACCCACTAACCCACTAACTAACTAACCCATTAACCCACTAACTAACTAACCCATTAACCCACTAACCAGGTGAAGAGTCTGGACTGGATTCTGATAGTGGTTGCTCACTTAGTCTAGCAAGCTGGAGGGGGAATATATCAATGTCATGGGAATCAGGTAGATAGATAGATAGATAGATAGACAGATATATAGATAGATAGATAGATAGATAGATAGATAGATAGATAGATAGATAGATAGATAGATAGATAGATAGATAGATAGATAGATAGATAGATAGATAACAGGTAGAGGGATACAGTTTGCTCAAATGTTGATGTGACGTATGAAAATATCTCAGGAGCGGGGTTAAATTTGATAAACATCATTTGATTGGAAACAATGATTTCTCAAGTCCGACCTTTTCATGCTTCTAGGACCTTTTTTTGACAATCTTTGTTATTGTTTTGGTAAAACTATTTACCCGGCGCACTTAACTTTTAATACGTCACGGTACATTGTATACAGAAACCTGATCAGTGATCACCCTTGAGAATACTCACAATTATCAAAAGTAATGTGAAAAAGAACAAAAACTAATTCAGAATATATTCATTTTCATTTAAGGTTCGTATCTGACGATTCCAGGACTCCACTCTGAGGATGCCAGCTCTATGAGTGACGTCAGGAAACTAATATGGCGGAAATCAAAATGGCGGAAGACAATATGGCGGAGCTCATTCAAAACTTTAATATTGCAAACGTAGCTTTCAAGTTTTGCCGAAAAACTTTTGAGGCCGGAGGCTAGATACAACTCGATTTACTCTTAAAACAGAAAGTTTATTATATTTTTCAAAAGGAAGTTTTTTTGATTAAATTTGAAAATTGTCTTCAAAAATTATTACAGTAACTGTATTTTACAAGTTCTTTATGCAAAAGTTTAAAAACAAAGGAATTATGTATTTAACAAAAAAAATTAAAAAGGTTTTATTTTTAGTCCATTATTTGTCTTGATATCCATATATGGTCCTGATTTAGTGGAATATCTGCAGCCTCCAATAAAACCTATGTTACTGAGGACAGTAGTCTTGTCCTCGAAACTTTAGAGGACGGTCGTCATCACCATTATCTTATACCAGCACAGGTATACATTATACATTTAAAAATTGGTAATTTTCTTCTTTTAGTTCAAAGAAATATATTTTTTTTATCATTTATCTATTTTTTTTATTTATTTTTTTATTTTTATTTATTATTTATTTATCTTAAGTGCTACCTATTTCGATCTTAAAAGCTGTGACAGATTTTGGATTAATTCGATTGATATTTTTAAATGAACTGATTACCTGCCTCCAACTCTGATTTTCTAAATCCTTTATATATTACTTGATGGCGATATTTCAAGCTTTGACTCGTTGATCAAGTAGACTTCATCGTTAGAAATATCAGACGTTTATCCAATAAGGTTGTTAAGATTAAGAAGTAAAAAATGAGAGTTTGAGGCAAATAATCCATTCATTTGATTGTGGGAGCGTTTAAAATTTATCTCATCTCTATAAATGTTTTAAGTTCTCAGGAAATTAAAATGGTTTAAATTTCTTTCTTTTTTTATATAAAAATAGAGTTTGATTTCTACCTTTAAGGAAATGTAAATAAGTAATCGACTCTTTTTACAATGAACCGATCGAATTCATTCCAGCGCTTTTAATCTTTTCTCAGGTCGAATGGGGGCGTTAAAGGGATAAAATTTATGGAAAATAAAATGTTTGAAAAAAAAAATGATTTTAAGGTTGCTAAGCGAGGAAGGTTTAAGAAGAGAGGAATAAAGCTTCATATTTACCTGGATCATATATTTGTTGCACGACACATCAAATTGTAAGTTTTAAGTTTAAGAACACTTTATTTTTATATTTAAAGGTATTTTCTTCGTAATTTTCATGTGACTTTTCATTTTATTATTTAAGAATTACATCAATACCGTTTAAACTTTAGTAACAATGAGGAAAACAAAATTGTATGTCTATTTTGAAAAGATAAATTTTCTATGAGGTTTTCTTCTGTGTACAATATATATGTACTGCAGGGGTACAGTATGTTCTGCCTGCGATGTACATATACCTATGTTTATTGTATCTATATGTATGTACTGCAGGGGTACAGTATGTTCTACCTGCGATGAACCTATACCTATGTTTATTGTATCTATATNATTTGGTTTGGATATATTAATAATAATAATATTTTTATTAAAAGATGGATACGCATTGTCTGCATACATCTCTACCCTCTATGGAGCTGTAAGTATATTTAATCTCCTCACTATCTTCTATCTAGTATCAGTATCCAATTGACACTCTGATTGGTTTCATTTTAGATACTTTCCTGGATAATAATGTAAGATTAATTTAAGAGAATAATCAAGATAAACAAATGAGATAAAGCATTGATCTTGATATCCACAATTCAAAAGTTTACAGCTCAAGATCATTATATATTTTGCATACAATACATAATCTTTGTTGATACAACTGCACGCATTGTGATTTTCAACCCTCTATACATATCTTCTACACAATAAAACAAGACATTCGTATATGTGTTCCCTATAGCCGGCAAAACGGCTGGACCGAATGAGCTGACACTTTTAAGGGAACCCATGGGAAGCATCGGGGTGATATAGGCTAAAAAATAATATATTTAATCTAATATATGAATTGCAAAGTACTTTTTTTTATCAAATTTAATGTTACAATGTTCTTTAAAAAGTGTCAAAGGCTTTTTACAAGTCAAAATCGTCATAAAAATTGGCTTTTATAAACAGATTTTTTTAAATTTTAGTTTTTAAGATTTTTTCTTTTGTAAACAAAATACGGAAATCTATCTGGAATGGTTTTAAGATAAAGATAATAAAAAATGAAAAAAAACGTTTTTACAAAAATGGGTAGATTAAAAATTTAATTGCAAAAAATATTTATTTCAATTTTTTATTCGTCGGCCTACTGACTACTGGAAAGCCAATTCTTTAAAACTCTCTGAATTAAATACAAAATATTTCTTAATAATTAACTTTTAATATTTTCATGCTCTTCATTAGGTATAGAGGTAATTCATTTTATTTATTTATTTAAAAAAAAAAATTTTAAAGGGTATGTCAACATAAATTTATTAACTCGCAAAATAGAAAGGAGTCTTTTAGTGGCTCCCTCGGAAAATAATTTTTTTGCTTTTTTAATAATTGAAGCTACTGTTTTATGCATATGAAAAGAGAACGTGTTTTTTTTGTGTATATTGTATAATTTAAATATAAAGAAACAGATGTTATTGCCACAAACTTTTATAATCCTTATACCTATGTAAACCTTTAATATTTAAAACTGAGACAATTTGATTTAACAGAGATCATAATTTGACATATCACAGATCTACTAAGTTATGTTGCAGAAATGTAGGATTAAAAATATCACAATTTGTGACAAAAACTTTCTTTAAAATATTGATTTATCATTATGAAATCAAAAATGATGTACGCTATGAATTATATGAACTGTATGTACAGGCATGCATCTTGGGTTTAAGATAAACCTTTTCTAAAAACTAACAAAGTTAAATTGGCAAAGATTTGCGAAACATGAAATCTCCATTTTCTGCACATATTCTTTGCAAATTTTGCTATAAAATACTGAAATTTGAACATTTTAATAAACTAAATTGTTATTCAGGGGGTACTGTACTAATCTATATTCAGGGAGTACTCAACTAATCTATATTTAGGGGTTACTATACTAATCTATATTCAGGGAGTACTCAACTAATCTATATTCAGGGAGTACTCAACTAATCTGTATTCAGGGAGTACTATACTAATCTATATTCAGGGGGTACTATACTAATCTATATTCAGGGAGTACTAAACTAATCTATATTCAGGAGTACTCAACTAATCTTTATTAAGGGAGTACTCAACTAATCTATATTCAGCTTGAGTACAATACTAATCTATATTAAGGGAGTACTATAATGAAGATGGGAAAGTTTAGAGGAGCAGGATTAAAGAGAACTAAATCATATTTTTTAAATAATGTACCCCTGCACTAATTTTAATTTGCTTTTAGTCCTGATTTGAATATTTTTTTTGTTCTAAGGATAGGTCTAACTGTTGAATTAATTGATTAGGTTGGAAAAGTAACAAGAATGCTCTACAGCAGAGGAACTCATTGGAAGGTCAAGAACAGCCAACTAAACAGCTCAAGAATAAACCAAACCAAACCATACACAGGGGACATACCCTAGATCAGAGTACAACCAGTCTCAGGGTCCAACTTGAACCACAAGGATCCCAGGAGGAAGGACGGAGTTCAATGATCCGACGCATTAGTTCTCTCCGGAGAATTTCAAGATCTTCGTCCTGGAAACTGAGTAAAAATTTGTTTGGAACCAAACTCAGATAGCAGTCTCATCCTTCTCCTCTTAGTTTATCATTCAACCTTGTCTAGTATTTGGTTTGGATATATTCAACCTTGTCTAGTATTTGGTTTGGATATATTTAACCTTGTCTAGTATTTGGTTTGGATATATTCAACCTTGTCTAGTATTTGGTTTGGATATATTTAACCTTGTCTAGTATTTGGTTTGGATATATTCAACCTTGTTTAGTATTTGGTTTAGATATATTAAACCTTATCTAATATTTGGTTTGGATATATTCAACCTTATCTAGTATTTGGTTTGGATATATTCAACCTTGTCTAGTATTTGGTTTGAAAATATTCAACCTTGTCTAGTATTTGGTTTGGATATATTTAACCTTATATAGTATTTGGTTTGGATATATTCAACCTTGTTTAGTATTTGGTTTGAAAATATTCAACCCTGTCTAGTATTTGATTTGGATATATTCAAACTTTTCTAGTATTTGGTTTTCCCAAGAAATTTTCTTTCATATCATTAAAATTTACCATCTGACGTTATTTTAAGAAATTACCCATAATTGTTTTGTTTTTAAATTTAGTAAGATTATAATTAATTGAAGATTAAAAAGTGATGCAACCTATGAGATTATGTACACGGTTTCCAAACATACATTGACGTTAATATTGAGCTACACGCCTCCAAGCAATCAACAGTTTTTATATACTCTCTTACTTTCTCCTAATTTAATGTGCGATTATCATTTTTCATTATATTATATTCACTTTTTATCACTTTGCAGAAACCTGAAATCTTTCCTGTAAAAAGAAATATTGAATGAACAGGATTGTATGCTTAATTTCAAGTAAACATATGGCACGCAAAAATGGAATTACCTGATTTGCAACGGTAATTTAGATAAAACTGATTTATGTCCTAATTACTGAGCTCAGTAAAAAATAGATTTTTTGAATTTTTGTTGTTGAAAAATTTCATATATTAGATTAATTATTAAGGTCTCCAAGACCAATTACTATTATGCAACAGCTGCAATGTTATAATATATCAAAAAAATGATTTCGAACATTAGCTTTTGCTTTTAATAGTTTTCTTATGATTTTGTTTTGTATTTCTGTATAATGATGAATAATATTAAATTCAAAAATATTTGTAAAAATTGGTCAAAGATGATAAACAGACCTTTATTTCACACAATCAAAGGTTTGGAGTTTTAAAAACTCAAGTTACTTCAGACATGAAATGTTAAAAACAACTGATTTTATTCTTGTGATTCATACCTCGAATTAAACCCTGCAGAAAATAAACTCCAGCAATCCATGTTAAACTTTTTTATTTATATAAATGCTTACATTGATTTCATGAAATTAAATATTAATTGACAAGTTTTATTTTTTATTTTTGTGTTTTTCCGTTACCTCCTGCTGAAAACTTTAGAATCGTGGATATCGAGATAAATGCTTGATTTCCTCTTTTATTAATCTGACGATAATTTAATTTTACGTCTGGGCTGCAACCAATCAGACTTCGATTGTAGAAACTGAACGGCCAATCAGAAGCCGAGAAATTTCAAAAATTTGGCGCGCAATTAATAATAGAATTCTCATTGGTTCTATGACGGAATGGAAATCCAAAAGCGAGGATTAAGCTGAAAATCAAAAGTGGCGACAGTGGATTTAGCAATCGGGATTAGGGATTAGTTTGTATCCAATATAATAGTTTTTAGCTCAGATTGAATAGAGTGATTAGCGCTGACTTTGTAAATTTTTTTTTCATTAATGATGCCCCTTTTATTAATTTTCAAATTCTATAGATTATATTTGTGTAGTTCATGTTTATAATCAATAATGATGCTATATGGACCTGAGCTGAAAACTTTAAATGCTGGATATCAAGATCAATGCTTAATCTCCTCTTTTTCTTAGTAACAAAAATGAGAGTGCTAGGACAAGAAAAACTACAGAGGGGGGGGGGCGCCAAACGCCCCACCCCCAGCCTGTTAAGGGTTAAAAAATTCATCAAAAATAGTTTTGAAAAAATCGTGTTGGTTAATAATAATATCTTTGGTCTAAGTAATAATTTTACAAAGCAAAGGAAACTTTTTAAGCATGCAATTTTGAAATAAGATGCACTACTCAGATTCTTGTAGATCTTCTCTTAACCCCCTCTCTCTAGAAAAAGGCATTAGGAAGAAGGTTTATGGTTACAATGCATGTTATTGTTCATAACCCAATTTTCAAGGCCCGCTCATTGAAAAAATAATTAGAACGATAACTGATAATAGTTTGGGTGCTAGGAATATTTGAAAAAAGCCCGAAACAGGGTCTGAAAAATAAAGTTTTTTCTTTGACAAATCTTAAGATGTGATACATCTTTCTAAATCCATTTTTCAAGGGCTTTTCGAAAATGTACTGTTTTTAGTTTTAGTGACAAAAAAATATTGGCTATTTTAGAATATTTTAAAATAGACCAACCTTTTTTCTACCTTGTTCCCTACCCTATGCATTAAAACTAATCCTTTAAATTAAAAAATGTCTAGGTAAAAAATGAGAGAACTAGGGCAAAAAAACTAGAGAGGCTGGGTGGGCGACAAACAACGCCCCACCTCCCCCCAGCCTTTTTAAGGGTTAAAAGCAAAACAAATTTGAATGTTTAAAAATAATTTCAATCAATGCATTGCATATGGGGCTGAGTGCTAGGTAAATCCCTTTTTTATATTGAAACGGAGGTGGAGGCTAGTAAGATTTAATACATATGAGATATAAATGCTATAAATATGAAAAATACGGGTTTGCAAAGGTTTAAGTATTATGATGCATATTCAACCTCTGTATTAGATATCCCGTGTTGATGAACGTGAGCTCGAAATATCCAAGATTAAATAATGTACAGGGATCCAGGTTCCTCCAGGAGAAATGAAACCCTGCTCCGGCCGCCTGTTGCTTATGCCATAGAAATATATACGGGTCTCTGGGAGCAGTAAAGGGGGGAGGAAGGTGATAACGAAAACGTTTAAAAATTTTCCAGTGAAACATTATTAATTTATTAATATACAGGGTTACCCAGAAAGCATGACACTTCTAAGATACCTTAACGGAATTTATACTTTCTTCTTAGAGGACTTAAAGATCGAAGTAAATCTTTATAGTGTTATTAAATATTTGCTAAAAAAAATCTCATTAAAGGCTCATGCTTTTAAGGGAACCCTGCAGTAAATCTAGTTTAAATATTCTCCATCATCAATGTTTTATAAGGTATAGCTAGGCTACACATAGAACATATATATATATATATTTGATTAATTCAATTTAAAACAAAATCATATAAATAATATTTCAGCTAAAGCTGGGCAAACGGTTGGACCAAATATGGGTGCGACAAAACCTAGAATTAAGATTTGTTTTTCAAAATCCGAAACAGAAAAAATTTAAAAAATTTTCGGTGATAAAAAATAGTTTCTAATAAATCAAAAATATTGAAAATAATTCAAAATTTCTGGGAAAATAACAAGAAATACAATCTCTGCATAACATGTTTTAAATGTTTAAACATACAAAAACATGAATAAACAACATTGATTTATGAACCGAGATGTAATTGTAACGTTGAGGAAAAAGAAATCGTTAATTTAAAGGGACTGTATACGTAATTTCGAGAAGCCTATTGGATTCAAAAAGATATACAATATTAAAACCTTTGTCAACGCAAAAATGACGAAGATCTTATTTGTTTCCTTTCTGAAAATTGAATTTTCAAATTAACAAATAGAAAAACGACAATATCTTCCTCATTGTTCCTGAGATAAAAGTTAACAAGTCAATGTTATAAATCGGACATGCACATTTTCTTAATGGATAGGATAGTGGATAGGATGGTGGATAGGATGGTGGATAGGATAGTGGATATGATAGTGGATAGGATAGTGGATAGGATAGTGGATAGGATAGTGAATAGNGTGTTGTCCCCCTACGAATGGTTTAGATGAAGCCCTGCCTTGAAAGAGAAGGATCAGGGTCTAAACCAACTTCTCTCATTACGTCACAACAAAAGGTTTCAATAAGAATCTTGGTTCTTAGATTCAGAAACATATGGAGCTGGATAAGTTTTAAAGTATCTTTAGTCAAATTTTTAATCATTTTACAAAAACGAAGATTCAAACACAGTTTACAGTTTCCTTATTGTTTCAATAATTTCTCTAAATGAGGACCGAATTTAATGAAATTCAGCACGGTTGCTTAGCTACCTACTGCAGATTTAAATCGATTCTTGAATCACCGATGCACAGTTAAGGAATTGATTCGGTCATTCAGGATTTGAACTGGTTGGGGTTGTTCAGCGACCTCTCGTTCATTAAGTTCGGACCTAGAGACCAGATTTAATGAATAGCAAGAATAAAGCTGAACCGTACAGGTAAAGTTTAGCCACTTCTTTTGTGCGCCAGTTCAAGCTTAAGAAAAGTAGTTAAACCACATATTTACAGGGTTCAACCATCTAATTTGGCCTCAAAATTAAAAAGTTATTTCAGATAAGCAAAAAAAATCATGCCTGTATCGCAATCAGGAAGATGTTTGTTTTGTAATATTTTTCCGAAAAGTAAATATGAAATAAAGATAACACAAGTATTTCCTTGATTTGCTGTGCACTGTTTGCAATGTTTGTTTGCATACAAAGATTATTAGATCCTAATGATTAATAAATTAAAAAATTTGCAAACATTTCACCATTCCGAATGGAATGATTTAAAAGCTCGGTCATTGGATCAGCAAGACATGACTTTCAATCACCATTTGATCAATTAAATCTCCATTTGTTGTTGTTTCTCCGTATAATAGCTCTAGTGTGGTCAAGATTCACTAATAAAGTGGTTGAATAACCTGTACCTATTTTAGCAATTTTTTTTTATAACAAACAATTTCTCAATTTGCAGAAGAATCAAATCCATGCCGGCCAAAAACACTGAATTTCTAATCCCAATTCCTATGCAACCCAATATTGTAGATCTAGACTACTTAAAATTATGTTAAATCAAAAAGTATCATTAGTGATTACAAACATTAACTATACAAACATATAGCATACATACAATATCTAAAACGAACACTACATTAACATACAAAGCATGTCAAATTAGTTTTGTGAAACAGTTTTTAATGTAGATACTTTAATACGTATTTTTTTCTATCTAAACCGCCTTTTCCTGAAGGTTGCTTAGCTACTTTGTCAAAGCACAGTCACAATTTAAAATATTAAAGATTTACACCATCAGTCATCAGATTGCAAAGATATCAGAATTAGTCAACTAATTTGAGTTTGTGGCAAAGACTCAATTTCTGTATAAATATTGTTTTTCCAGAAATTAATCCAGTATAATTGAAAAATCATTCATGCATGTGATTCTGAAAATGGTGACACGGCATTAGTTCCAAATCAATGAACAGACCCATGCCTGTTCATTTAGTTATCGAGATATGTTTTGCTCTGTCCGCTTTTACAAGAATAAAACTAAGAATTCTCAAACATAAATGACAAAATATATTAAATAAAGGGGTTAATCTTAATGAACATCTGTTGCATGTGAGCGAGGTTGAAAAATCTGTTTTTATTATCGGAAAGTATGGTTTAGGAGGCTGGTCGAGGCTGGTATTCTCTAGGAGTGAGGCTGGGGCCATCAGGGAGGACACTGGTTCAACCATTTAACCTTCAAAAAACAGCTAAATATTAACAAAATAAATGTTTAGGTTAAAGGATTACTTTTTTTCATCTAATTTAAAGATTTTAAAATTCATTTCTTTCAATGTTTATTTTCTTTAAAACCATAGCCGGTTCATCGTGTTAATTAATTCCATATGGTTTCTGGTTTGATGAATTATACAAAATGCAAATGCAAAAAATGCAAATGTTTAAATAAAACGTCTTTAATAAATGTGCTTATTATCTCGTATATTTCAAACAATTCGTTGCAATATACAGAGTCATTATTTGTCAAACGCATTTGGCACAATTTACAACAAAAACTTGAAGCGTCATATGCTACCTGTAAAATATCAAGGACATCTTGCGATAAAGGTTCAAACTTCAATTTGCTACTTGTTTTGATACTCCAAGTACATTTATACTTCTTGCTCTAACACTCCAAGTATCATATGCTTCTTGTTTACTGTTTACTTCTTGATGAAACACTCCAAAGTACCATGTACTTCTTGCTCAAACACTCCAAGTACCATATACTTCTTGCTCAAATACAGCTCCAATTACCATATACTTCTTTACAAAAAAACTCCATATCTTTACAAGACACTCCAAGTACCATATGCTTCTTGTTTAAACACTCCAAGTACCACATGCAAGTTATTTAAACACTCCAAGTGCCATATGGTTTTTGTTTAAACACTCCAAGCACCGTATGCATGTTGTTTCAACACTCCAAGTACCATATGCTTCTTCTTTAATCACTCCAAGTACCACATGCAAGTTATTTAAACACTCCAAGTACCATATACTTCTTGCTTAAACACACCAAGCACCGTATGCATGTTGTTTCAACACTCCAAGTACCATATGCTTCTTGCTTAAACACTCCAAGTACCATATACTTCTTGCTTAAACACTCCAAGCACCGTATGCATGTTGTTTCAACACTCCAAGTACCATAAGCTTCTTGCTTAAACACTCCAAGTACCATAAGCTTCTTGTTTAAACACTCCAAAAGCAACATTTACTTTTTTAAAGCCCTCCAAGAACCATATGCTTCATGTTTAAACAATCCAACCACCATATACATTATACATACTTCTTTTTTAAACCTTCCAAGAACCATAAGCTTCTTCTTTAAGTACTCCAAGCACCATATGCTATTTCAAGAAACATTTTTTCCAAGCCCATTGCTACCATTTTCCCTTTAATTCATCACCTCTTCTACAATATCCTATACTCTTAAAAAGTCTCCACACAGAATTTGCAGTGTATGAAGATTTATTGTTATATTGTTAGATTTTTGGAGGGNAAAAAGAAAAATGTATATTGATGTATTGATAAAAAAACATTAGTATTGGTTGAACAAGTGCCTGGTATTACAGTAGATTATGAAAACGGCCTTATCGCCCCCGCCCTCTATATGTAGCAACGACGGAGGGCGGGGAGCGCTCGCACCTTTCCTCCCCCCCTCCCCGAGCACAACCTTCAACATGAAGATGAAGATGCGAGGCTTGACGTTAACCCTGGTGGTGTACATCCTTCTGGTCAGCCTCGTGTACAGCGTGGATGGGAAGGAGGTGTTCACCAACAGCTTCTACGTCAAGATCCAACCAGACCACGGTAAGTGAAACTTTCAAAAACATATTTTTTTACAATATTTAAAAAAATCAGAGTTTTTGCAACAAACTCTCATCTTTTAATACCTTTATCTTAGCAACCCGATTTTGTGGACCTTTGAAATTTACAACTATGAATTTTGGTAGATCAAATAATCTAAGTTTGAAATATCAAAGGTTTACACCATCACTTGGCAAAGACAAAGGGATAAGACAATTTTATTATGTATCAAAAAACTCGGATCATTCAAATATTCGAATTTTTTTTTTGCTGTTTCTGTTTATGTATTTTATGTTAGCCAAGTTTGTAAAGTGCATGCTCATGTGTTTAAACAATAACATTAACAAGTTGGCATTGCAGATTTTATTTTATGTTCATAAAAAGTTTTTAATTTTACACTCCATATTTTTTCATTGTTTCAAATTCTTCTTGTTTCTACGATATTCTTTCTTTTCTTCATGTTTTTTTTTTATAATTAATCTGATACTTTCTTATTTTTTCTTTATTTTTCAATTTTTTTATTATTATTCTTTACTCTTCGAATATTCTTCCATATTTATTCATATTCTTCTATATTATTCTATATTCTTCCATATATTCCTAGATATTCATCCTTATTCTTCCATATTCTTCAAAATTATTTTATATTTCTTATTTCTTTGATATTCATTCTTCCATATTCTTCCATATTCTTTCATATTCTTCCATATTCTACCATATTCTTCCATATTCTTCCAAATTCTTCCATATTCTTCCATATTCTTCTGAATTCTTACGTATTCTTTCATATTTATCCATATTTTTCTAAACTATTCCAAATTCTTCCATATTTTTCCATATTCTTCCATATTCCTCCCTATTTTTCCTTATTCTTTATATTTCTTCATATCCTTTGATATTCATTCTTCCATATTCTTCCATATTCTTCCATATTCCTCCATATTCTTCCATATTCTTCCATATTCTTCCATATTCTTCCATATTCCTCCCTATTTTCCCCTATTCTTTATATTTCTTTATATTCTTTGATATTCATTCTTCCATATTCTTCCATATTCCTCCATATACTTCCATATTCTTCCATATTCCTTCATATTCTTCCATATCCTCCCATATTATTTCATATTCCTCCATATTCCTCCATATTCCTCCATATTTCTCCATATTCCTTGTTATAATAAATATTTCTTCAATAAATATATATATATATATATATATATATATATAAATACATCAATTGTATATATATATTGTATTAAAAATCATCAGATTTATATTAATAAAGATATCAACAATAATATTGATAATTACAAGAATGAAAATGTCTAGCATTACAAAAATAAAGAT